CGGCAGGTCCGGATTCTGTATCTCTCCAAGACTACCAAACCCAAGCCCACATTTCAATAGAACGTGCCTGGCAACTCGTTCAGGTGTGACGTCAGCACGCACTCCACGGCATCACTTAGCTCCTCCAATCAAAAACAACTTTCAGCAGGGAAATCCGAAGAAAAACCAACAAAAAGCTCTTTGAGAACTATACGGCCCAAGTCCTAAAAGATTGCTTTGTGGTGCTCTTAGTTTTCGTATTTCTTTGGGAAAAGTTGGTTTTGGACAGAAGGACCAACTTTTTCCTAGGAAAAAAAGGCATGCTTTTCCTAAGAGAAAGTTGTTTTTTTCGGCTTAACACTAACATTTTCCTAAGGAAAACCAAAAAAAAACATGTTTTTTGGACTTTGGCCGTATATTTTTCCAAAAAACTGTTCTGTTGTTTTTTGTAGGAAAAAGTTGGTTTTCCGGTCCAAAGCCATCCTTTCCCTAGGAAAAATTGGCATTTCACTTCAAGAGTGTATTTCATTTGTTGCTTGTGAGCGTTACGAATTAGTGTTGCCAATAAGGTTCGAGTGTCGTTACTATTGGGATTCGACTCCGCTTGGCTTTAATACTATATAATAAGAAGGAACGACATTAGAAGCAAATACACATACACATGCACTATACAATATAACTACCGGGTAATGAGCAGGACATTATTCGGATCAGGTTTGGTGTCAATAAAGAGCTCATATTGCAGGTTTGACACAGACCAGGACCCAGAAATCAGGGTTATCACAGCTACCACCACGATTTCTTCTAGCTGACTAAAGTGGCAATAAATTACACAAAAGAAACATCGGGGTCACATAATGGGTGGTACTAACTAAGCCTACTATGAATGGCCTCAGGGCTGCTGTCAAGGCGAAATTTGCGGTCACCATTGACAGAAGGGCGAATGACCAGGATAGGGTTAGGGTTGATGTTGTGTGGACTCAGGACTCAGTTAACGATCCTCGTCATCGTCATCATGCTTGTATCTAGTACGGGTTTAACCTTCGGGTTAGCATGTGTGTGTAACACATAAACGTACATACACGCATACGGGCAAGTTCGAAATGAGCATGTACTACATAGACAAATGCTGAGGTAAACAAACAGATGCTGGTATCATCCCTGAACAGCTAAGGGCCATCATTGGGCAACGCCAGAGTGAAGACGGCAAAGATCGTGGTTCTTCGTGGATATCGTTTTGTGTAGTTTTATATGGGCATGAATGTGACGTAAATCTTAGCCTTCATGGTTGAGGGTGGGAGTTTTTTTTAAAGCTCTACCTGGATGTGCAGGATGAAGTGACTTGCTGCCTGGGGGCAGCACCAGAACAACTTGGATATTAGGGCTTAGGTTGGTTCAGAGGTTGAGGGTTTAGGGTTTAGGGGTTGAGGGGTTAGGGTTTGAGGGTTGAGGGCTTAAGGCTTAGATATACAACCCATCTGTTTAGGCATGGCACCCGATACAGCTGCTGCAGCGGACTCGGCGGCAACGGAAAGACGATGTCTGGCGTGTACTTCTGCGTTTGGACCCAATGGTGGATCATCTCCTGTGACATTGCAGTGGCCCACCACATTTGCCATCAAAGTTTAACTCATCTTCGTCATCTTGCTCATCCCATGATCTTCGTCTTCGTCGTCATCATCAACATCATCAAATGGCAATCATGGTCATCATCATCCCTCATGAGTAGCAAAGTGTCATCCAGGTGTCGTGGCATGATTACAACAACCATTGCAACCACTGACCGTAGCTTCGAGACTGCAGCAGGATCAGGACATTCAATCTGTAACTGTGAAAGCAACCACGACAACGACAGCGACAGAGCTACCGACAAAAAACGGCAACAACCACAACAACAACAACAACAACAACAGCAGCAACAGCATTAGCAGCAGGAGGAGCAGGAGCTGCAGCAGCAGCAGCAATTGCGGCAATTGCAGCAACTGCAACAGTTACAACCACTGCAACGACTACAAGACAAACTACTGCTCCGACTCCTACTGCCAGTCGTACTCCTTCTCTTCTTACTCTTTTTCCTACATCCACCACCACCACGACGACGACTACCACAACTACCACTACTACTACTACTACTACTACTACTACTACGACTACTACTATTATTACGACTACTACTACTACTACTACTACTAATACTACTACTACTACTACTACTACTACTACTACTATTACTACTACTACTA